TTGTTACGTTAAAACGACTCTTAATTGCCGAAATAACTTTCGAAATCAGTCCATCTCGCTACCTTGAAAACAGTTTATGAGACACGCACGAGCCAGAACTTCGGTAATGATCAATCAACCGATTGACTATATTGTTTTCGTGGTCTGTAAATAAATCGTATTTTATGCTGTTTTCATTATAACCGCTAAAGTCGGAAAGATACTAGTCATCTCAACTCAGTTTACATGCCTTGTTGTGATATTTATCTCCATACAAATGACCAGGTCCCAGAAAATTTTAGAGCACAGCATCTCTGCCACTCGGTCATCTAAGTTACATATGAAGATTAACCAGGTCAGCTTATTGTTCTGATGGCTAATCACGTTGTAGTGAAGCCTGTAACTCAAATTTGAAGTGATTATCAATTTTACGTCTGGCACGTGAACAGTATTTCGGTTTTTGACCAGTGACTGACAACTAACGACTCGTCGTTTCAGGTTTAAAGCTGGACCCGTCGTTGATTCGAATGACACACATGTACAGATTGTCGTGGACCGTGTTCGGTGACAATTACGTGGAATGGATGCGACACTGTTTGATCATTAACGCCCCGTGGTTCTTCAGCAAGTTGTGGAACATCTTCGGCGTGGCGTTGCCGCAGCTGACACGCCTGAAGATCAAGTTTTTGGACAGCGACTGGAAGGAGCAGCTGCTGGATTACGTTGACCCGGATCTGCTGCCGAAGTACTGGGGCGGAAACTTGGTCGACGAGAACGGCGACGAACGGTGTGCCAGTAAAATACAGTACCCGTTGGCGGAGAAGATCCCTACGAATCTGTACTGGAAATTCCAGCTACCGAACGACTACTTCGCCGATCATCAGACGTTGAACGTCGCAGCTGGCGCGACACTCAACCTGGTGTACCAAGTCAAGCAGGCGAACGTCACCATCAAGTGGAATACGTACTCGGACGACGACTACGGCTTCGAGCTGTTGTTCTCTGAAGACGTCGAAGACACGTCGACCGACTCGATGGACATCTGTTTTCCGTATTTCGTTTATCCGGGCAAGATCGCGCCGGCCGACGAAGTGATCACCAACGCTGCTAAGGGGGTGTACTACTTCGGCTTCACCAATAAAGCTTGGTTTTTTTCCGTTGCCATTCAGTACCGCATCGAATTCGAGAATGGCGACACCGGACAGCCGGCGGATGTGCTGCAGCTGGCATGAACGTTGAACGTTCCGA